GTGGGATAAATAATAAAAAAAAAGTGGGTGTGAGACCCATAATTGATTTAATAAAATTTATTTAAAAATTGATATTTTTTAACATGTATAAGGGTGTGGTACTATTATGTTTTAAAATATTAAAATTATTAATTTTCCCTTATAATCTAGAAAAAATTACACCTAGTTCCCATAGAACAAATTTAATTTCAAGTTATCAATTTTATTTTTCAAGCTGTAAATATGTAAAATTTAAGACTTGAAAAGTGCTTTGTACATTTCATTAGACTCTTGGTAATTAAATTTGTTATGTGGGATCTATATGTAATTTTTTCTATATATAATTCTATTTGTCTTCTCTCACTTCCTAATTTTAAGAACTTCAAAAATTTTTAACTAAAATATGAACTTTAAACAATTAAGTAAGACATTATTTAAATAAATAATTTTAAAATGTCTCATTAAAACTATAAAATTTAAATAAAATAAACACAAATTATATTTACTAATTTATCTCTTATTATATTAAATTCCTGCTTCATTAAATTTTTTTCACACGCTGCTTGAAATATTATTTAGCAAACTTATGTATTTGATTTAAAAAAAACAGATAAATAAATCTTTATAACTAATAAATTTAAACATGAATAAAATGTAAAAAGAATATACCCTGAATGATATTTTGATCCAAAATATTTGATTTAACTGTAAACTAATGTTTGGATGAATAAGAATAAAAACTTAAAAGTAAAAAAAAATATTTGTATTTTGTAACACTTAAATATTAATTTCAAGAGAGATTCACTTAGATTTTAAAAATAAAAAGGAGATATTTATAATCACGATAAAATTGAGGGAAAGGCAATGTATTTTAATTTAAGTACACTAAAATAATTTTTAATATTTATATTTATTTTTATCTTTAAATACTAAAACATTCCCGTGTATTGCGTGGGACATAAATCTAATTAACAAGTAAGCATTAGTAAATGATAAGTTAAATTAATTTTAAGAAGTCCACTTCATGCTATTAAATATCATCAAGGTTGAATGTAGAAATGACATTAATGAATTAATAAGTAAGAATAATTAAAATGACAAGTTAAGTTGTGGTTTTAAAAAGTATTTTACAATAATTTTTTTGATTAAAAAATTCATCAACCATTGAATTCCATTTTTACCAAAAAAACAAACTACTGTATCCCATATTTTTTTTTCGAAAAAAAAAACTATTGAATCCCATCCATGATTTTCTTCTTTCTTTAAACTTTTATAATTGATGACTCCAAATATTTTTATGTTATTTGAAAATTTTAGGTTTAATTTAGAGTTATCTAAATATCTAGTTAAAATGAATTGATTACTTGAACTAAAAATGCATTACTAATATTATGTTGTGTGTAGGGTGGTCCAAATTAAAAGTTAAAATGTTATATATAAACAAAGATTAAAGATAAAGTAAAGTTAAAATTTATGCCGCAATGTCCCTGCAACATGCTAGAGCATAATAGCCAGTGACAATAATAGAATAACTTTACGTCGTAGCATAATAGAATTATGCTACAACATAATCATTAATTAGTGAAACGCATAGCTTTATTGAAATTGATATTTTTAAGATTCTAAAGGCTTTGGCTCATTATTTCTTCATTTTCTTTGACTCTAGCTACTCAAGAATGTCCAAGGGAGAGGGATGAAACCATAGTTAAGGTGGAGAAGCTTGAGTTTCATGGAAGCTTATTAATTTTTGTCAAAAATCACTTTGATTAAACTTTTATTCTCATACTATTTTTCATTTTGATGTACTATTATTAATTTTTGCTATTTTCACATCTATGTGTGGTTAATTCTCCTTAAACATAGACGAGTTATGAACCTATTGATAGATAAGACTCATTTTTACCTATTAGTTAAGTTTAATATTGACTTTGATTGCTCAATTATATGCTTGAATGTCTATTTGATTCTTGGCTAATATTAAACGTGATTTGGAGTTTTGTGTTGATTTTCCTTAACAAGGAAAAATCTCATTTAGACCATTAAATTAAATAATGTAGGATTAAATTTTTATCTAATTTGTAATTAAAATGTATATATGCCAAATTACCCCCTACATAATTAGGGTGGAGTGTTATCAGTTTAAATTGTTTTTGGATAATTGTGTTATACATAACATAATTAATTTGAAAGAAGGTTATTAGTGAATTAAAAGACCCTAGTAACTATTAATACTCTTGATTAATAAAATTGACATTAAAATTAATTAACTAGGTTAAATAGAGTCTATGAAATTAATAGGGGATTAGTAATTCTATAATTTTTTTTATTTAAGTGGTTGTTATATTAAGAATCTCATTATATTTTATTAAATTTAATTTTAATTTTGGTTAATCAATCAATTTTAATTAGTCTTGTTTAACATAAATAAAAGTAAAATTTTATTACTTAGTCATTATTTTACTTGATTTTTGATAAAATCAACCTTAATATATCAACATATTATATATTAACTTGTACATTTATCGTAACAATTTGTGCACATCAACAATAGCCCGTTGGAGAAGGGGGAGGAAGATTTCACTCGCCCACTCAAATTTGATGCATAAGCCAGCCAACCGTGGCTTGATATTTTATATATTTGCTATTAATATTGATATTGATTTTATTTTTATACATCTTTTGTCAAACAAATCTTTATCACAAAAAAATAATAATACAATAAAGGTAAGGTTGCTCAAGATAATTTATCACAAATAAATTTTTATATTAAATATTATCTTATAAAATATATTTAAAAAACTTTTATATATATAACTTATATTATAAAATTAAATTAAATAAATATTTAATATTTATTATTTATTAATGATATATCGTTATATATTAATAATAAATTTTTTATGTATTAATATGAGTGAGTCATATTCTTAAATTTTTAAAAATTTAATATATATTTTTTGAGTGCAATAATTTTTTGACCAATTATTTAATTTATCCTATATATTTAATATATAATATTTTTAGCAAAACTCATGGCTGTTATTGCGATAAATTCAGAGCGCCTTTACATGCCATTCTCCCTGGAAAAAAATAGCTTTCGCGCTCAACGAACCCGTCTCCTGCACGGCGTTTTCAGCTCCTTAATTTGTAGTGCGCCTTTTGCCGGCGATTCACGTTACAATCACGTCACCTACCGACTCTCATGGTGGCGCCATCTTTACAGACGCCACCTTCGACTCTGTTCCCGCCAGCTCTATCGATTCTTCCACTGTAAACGCCGTTGATGGCTGCTGCGATTTCTCTTCCTTCTCGGTATAATCTTCTTTCCCCTATCACTCAGAAAATATGGCACATGGTTAACAAGTGTCGAACTAGCATTTCCATATCTTTACGTGTAATCTTTTTTTTTTTTTGAATTTTCTAATTTGCTAATTCACGCCCGAGGCAACTGAGAATTTGTTTGGCTTTCTCATTTTATTTTGTTCGCCAGGAATTTCTGCTAGATCAGGATTATTTAAAATTCCTAAAATTTTTGCCCTTTCTCTTCCGTTCTTAAATTTATTGACTTGCTGCCGAACAAAATATTTAGATGGCTCAGAGGAAAAAAGATTATATGGCTTAGGACTAGATTTATATTCTTATATATCCTTCCTGTTAGCCTACTAGGTTCTAATGATAAGTGAATAGTTTAATGGAGGAATCATAATCTCGCTTGCAAAGTGAAAATATATACTTCTCATGGCTGAGAAACTTAACAGTAAAGATATTAAAAAACATTTCAGCAGGGGAAAAAGATATTAATGAACTACATTTAAGTATTTTCCATGTATGGAAGGTAGTTATAGTACAGTTCACTGCTGTTGGAGTACCAAAAATGAAGTTTCTTTTTTACTTCTCATTTAGCTCTAAGATTTTCTCCTTTCTTGAATTACTTTAGTGGTTTCTGACTTGCCATGGAAAAGGGAAACAGTTGTGTTTTATTCTTTTTATTTATGTTTTTATATTTTACACAATGAAGCTAGAGATCATTACATATGCTTAATATCTTAAATAAATTCTAATTCTGAATATGCCCTTTGAGAGTTACGGTCTGGATCAGTGATTATTCATTTGATGATGTCTTCATTTCTTGCATAATCAAATGAGCAATTATATTTTTACCAAATAAGCAATTATATTATTACATTTTCACATGCTTAACATCATAAACAAATTCAAATATTTAATATGTTCTTTATGGTCTTGATGATTGCCAAAAATACTGAGAGTTTGCCATTGAAACTAGAGATTTTTGCTTCCTAAGAGCCCTTGGGCTAACATATGATGTAGATTGGCGTTGAAGAAACAGTATCAGTTATGCTTTAATTCACTTTTGATTTCTGTTTTTTGAGTTGAAAAGTGAGAAATCCATTAATCAAAAAGGCCAAATTACATGTAGGAGTAAGATTTTGTTTGCCTAGCTAATTAATAAGCTTTATCATCAAATATTTTTTAAGTTGTCATCACTTGTGGGAGGTTGGTTCTATCCGGGCTTGGGGCCTCCTTGAGTGATTTTGTTATCATAATTAGCATTATAATTGTTATTTCTAAAATTTGGGCCACACAGCCGTGTAATAACTTTGTCACAAAATTGGCCGCCCAGATGTAGTTCATCCTTCAGGGAACTTTCCTTTGTAACGTTCTTGGGAGTTTTGTTGTTCATAATAAAAATTAGCTTCAACCTTGTTAAATTACCATAACCCAAGCCTCTCAAAGAGACTGTAAATTTTGTCACGGGCAATGAAACCTTAGTAGTACTGAACAAGTTAATCCGTTCTCAATTCTAAATTTTGGGGATTGGAATTTAATTCAAATCATCCTAGTTGAAGCATGAGACATAACCTACCAATCACCTGAAACTTTTAGAAATTCCTTCTTTTTATCATTCACATTGAAATGGTTTACATATGTACGTGTAAGATTAGCTGATGGTCTTTGCAGTATTCAGTATATCAGAAGCAGAAGTGTTCATTCGAAGAAAATTTCAGGGAAAACAAATACATTAATAGTAAGAGTTTACATGACTGAAACTGTAGCATGTTGACATACCCAAATTTATTACTAATACAATGATAATGATGTCTCAATTTTTTCAGTAATAGACACTCTGCATATTGCAGATATATCCCCATCTATCATTGATTATATCATAACTATATTAGGATTTACAGACACAACGAAAGTAAATAACTTCTTAATGTGGAAGGAGTTGTTTGGAGGATTATAAGTAGGTTGTATTTGATCAAGGAGGAGACATTCTTTTGTAGGTTCTGTCTATAAAAGATAGATTAATCAAACTAATCATGAAGAAACATGTAAACAATTCAAGCATACTTTCTAGTGGGGTGCCTTTTTTACATGTTTGTACTTATCTTTTATAGACTGAATATCTATGAGAATCTCTCATCAAGGAGAAGTAGTCTTTGAAGAAGAAGCAGGGGGATTACTGGGGCTACGAGGTGGGAATAGTGGAGGAAAAGGAAATGGCAAGAATGGTGCTGGAGGAGGAGGCGGCGGCGGCGATGGAGTTAAACCAGGAATTGGTGGGAAAGGAAGCAGTGGTAATGGGCTTGATGGTGGAGGCTGAAATGGGTTGGGAATCAGTGGTGCTGGGCTTGCCGGTGGTGGCTGAAATGGGTTGGGGATCAGTGGTGCTGGGCTTGCTGGTGGTGGCTGAAATGGGTTGGGGATGAGTGGTGCTGGGCTTGCTGGTGGAGGCTGAAACGGGTTGGGGATGAGTGGTGGTGGGCTTGGTGGCTGAAATGGGTTCGGGATGAGTGGTGGTCTTGGTGGCTGAAATGGGTTTGGGATTAAGGGTGGTGGCTGAAACGGGTTTGGGATTAAGGGTGGTGGCTGAAACGGGTTTGGGATTAAGGGTGGAAGGATCGGAGGGAAGAAGAAATCAGGGTGAGCTACCTTCTCATCTGGGGACTGAGGTTTTTGGGTCTCTTGAGCATGTTTTGGGATTGGCGGTAGTGGAATTCCTATAACAGGTGGAAGAGGAGGAAGAGTTGGCAATGGTGGAAGCTGAGGTACTTCAGGAAGAGGTGGAAGACCAATGGGGGTGGTTGGATTCTGAAGTGGAGGAGGAAGCAAGTTTGGAGGTAACCCGGTTTTCACAGAATCAAATTCCTTTGAGTTTTGAGCACTACTTGGCTTGTGGTTACAAAGATCTGGCTGTTGAAGGGGCTTGAATGAGAAAAACCCAGCTGAGAATGTGTGCTCTCTCTGGTTTCTTGACTTGAGACTGAGAGAAGAAGAAGTTGCTGCGGAGGCCACTGAACAGTGAGGCTCACTGCTTTTCATCAGTTTTACAGTACACCCTTTGATTCTCCTCACTCGTTTACTCACTGAAAATGGAAGCTCAACTTTGAATTCACCATGTTCACTAGTCCTCACTTCTTTCCAGAATCTTGGCTCTGAGTTTCCATTTTTGCACTCTACAGCAACTGATGCACCTGCACAAACGAACACACATTAGGTAGCCATTTTTTGGTTGGCTTTAGCCAATCCAAAATGCTAACACTAAGTGCCTGTTGGGTTGAATGGAATTTTACCTCAAAGGTTAAGTTCTATTTTTTGTTTCAATGTTAACATAGAACACAAGGATATGTTTGAATTGAGGAGAATAAAAGGGATGAAAAAGAAAGGAAAGAGGAATTTTATTTTGGACTTCTTTTATTTGGACTCATGTAAACAATTTTCCTTCATTTTTCATAAATTCTCATCAGTCTAAATATTCTACAGAACAAAACAAAATTTGTTAGCTTTAAATCCAACTCAAATAAAATACATTTCCTATACAGAATGAAAAGTTTGAAGGAAGAGTTAAATCCTGGAACAACAAGGCTAAGGAGCTGAAATTTACCTGCCATGAAGTGACTGTTCCTGGAGAAATCATGCTGAAAACATGTGTCGCAGTAGACAGTGCCAACAACAACTGGGGTAAGAAGCTTCTTATCATGGCTGCCATCTGAGAAGCTAGTAAGTGTGAGATTGAGAATCAGAACTAATAGGAACCAAGACATTCTTCCCCTAGTTCTCTGAAACTCTGCCTATGAGTAAAAAAAGGTTAGGGACTTTGGTTTCATATAAATACTGATACTACTTATCCTCCTTTATTTTACTCCCTTATCTTCTCTTTGTCCTCTCTTGCTTTCTGTGACAGGGAAAATTGGACACAAACTTTCATATAGAACCCTACCCTTGATGGACTATTTATGCCAATCATGCAATAGCCACAGATTCTGATGGAATGGTTTGAAAAATGCCAAATCCTACAGTTGGGTCCCTGCAGGTTCACGAGACCAAGAAAGTGGCCACATGTTCTGTAAGTTCATGAGACATGGCTGATGATGACAAAAGACAAAGGAAATATACAATTTTTTTATGTTGCGGTTGCCATTACTTCATCAACTTTGTCTATGTTTATTTAACAGAGTTTAGGTAAAAATCGAAATAATGCCCTTTGTTTTTAAAATATTGACTAAAATTACGGTAGGAAGTTTTCAAAATTTGAATTGATTGGGGCAGATAGAACTAATGAAATGCAACATAAATAAAGTTTTATTTAATTTTGACTTAAAGTTTAAGAAGGTGATTTGCCCATAATATAAAGGTTTAGTAAAAAGATTTAAGTGGGTGAGTAATCACTAGCATGTTATGCTTTATTAGAGAAATAACAAAGTAATCAATAAGGGGGGATTATTTGCATAAATGTAAAGATTTATGTGAATTTTTGTCAAATTTTAATGGCTAGCGGATTTATTTGTACAAAATTTGAAATTTAGGGAAGTGTTTGCGTAATTGAGTGAATTGAAATGATGTATCTGATTAAATGTTGACAAAAATTATGATAACAAACTTTGAGAGAATGAATTGATGATGACGCTAATAGGGGGCGAAATGATTAGCTTTATGGGCCTTCATAACATAACATCAAACCAACTTAAGAATTACTTTATTGACTTTCTATGTTGGGTTCACACGGGAAGCAGACAGCAAAAGATGTTGGTGGCATGATATGCGTCCGTCTGAAGTCAGTCACCATGTGTAAGCACGATGTGAAACTGATTTGCATACGAGGATTTTGTATATTCATATAATAACAGTTTTGCATTCATGTGAGGATTATATTTTAGAATTTGATTTGGAGTCAATCTTGTTGCAGAGGAGAGACAAGAGTAACAATCATAGGAAAAATGATAACTGGGCCAAAACCTAACGGAAGTTAACAAGAAGAAATATTAAAAATCTCTTCCAAAAAAATTTATGAAGCTTTGATATCATCTCATCAATGGCCTATATGGTTAAAAAGCGGTTGGTTGAGTGATCTGGATGCTACGTGAAAGGTCTCCCACTGACTGGCATATCAGATTTCTTACGACACTTTAGATATCTCTATTTTCGATAATCTACGAAAAGAGTGTGAAAACTTGTTTTGATATAACTTGTCTTGCATTGTTTATCTTTTGCACTATTTTTTCGTGTCCTTTAATTAAGAAAAGCTCTTTTACCGGAATTATATGGCTTTTTTTTATACCTCAACGATAGGATGCTGTAATAGTTATCCTCTTTACATTTTTTTTTCTAAGAAAAATATAACTTGTGGTTGCTATATTTTTAGCATATTTTGGCATTAGTTATTATATTTTTATTTCATTATTTCAAGTTTCTAAAGTTTTATTGGTCTGCAATATTAATTTATATATTTTTAAATTTGATCATAAGAACTTAATAGTGATTAACATGAGCATAAACTTTATTACTTTTTGTGTTAACTTGTTAAAATTATAATGAGTTGTATAAAAAGCAAGTAGAAGGATCAAAAGAAAGTAGGACATTAAATTAAAATCTTTAAAACATCTAATGAATGAAGTTTCAAAAAGAAAAAGAAATTAGGTAGACGGATAAAAAGATTAATAGTCATTTTGTTCATTAAAATTTTATTAACTTGCCAATAAAATTAAACTAATTTATGTGCACATAAGCAAATTTAACCCTGCTAATTAGTGATGATAAAGATTAACATTGCATGCATATAAAACTTAAAGGATTTTGAACAAAATAAAAGTATAGAGACTAATATGAAAACATATTAAAAGTATAGTGACCCATAATTATGTGTTTTCTTTTCTCATAGCTTTTTATTTAAGGTTCCTTTTCTTGTCCTCTTCATTTATTTATGTCCCCGTGCTCCACCCTTAGCTTATGATAAGAGCTTGTTGTAATTAATTAGCAGGTGAACAACTAATAAATCTGGTATCTCCCATACTCAATGAGGATAATATATTGTAAAGATGGTTCACTTTGTTTGTTAGCTCTGTCTCAAAGTGCCTGAAAATTTTGAAGAACTTTATTCAAATAATCTAAAAGCTAAGTATTATCATTAGCTTACGACATATAGAACTGTTTTAGAAGGTTCCCAAGAGAATCATTTGTTTGTTTCTCATTTTCTAGTTCGTGACATCCCAGCTAATTTGAGCTTGCAAGGCTCACATGATAGTATGATACAGATTACAATTTCCGTTAGGCCTCCCTTTGTACATGATTATTGTTTGGTACTTTCTTTATTCCAAATTATAAGACATTGACACAAGATTTTGCATACTAGTAAAATTCAACAATGAAACCTTTCAAATTTATTTTTTTCAAAATAAAAGTATAAACTTTCAAAAATATTCTTACATATTTAAGTATTATACTACAATCATTTTAATTATCTCTCTCCACTTGAAGGGTACTATTGAAAAAACAACATTAATGAAATCTTATATTTTGTCAAATTGTCTTATATTTTGGGATCACAATATTCTTTCAATGTTGTCTTTTGACTTGGAACGGAGGGAGTATCATAAAAGAATATTTTTTTTAGCATTGTTAAAAAAATAGAAGAAAAATAACATAATCTATTGTTATTATAATTGATAATATTAGTTGATTATTTTTCATAACATTTTTATTTTAAGATCTTGAAAACTTGAATGTTTCTTTTTCCATTTTTACTCAACATTTTGTGCATAAAATTTTTTTGATACATAATAAAATTTTTAGTTGTTTAAGTTTATCTCAGTTTTTGATTTGATCTTTGAAATTTAATTTTTATTAATGAAATTATTAAAGTTTCAAGATCATATACAATTAATCCTTTTAGTTTGAACTAATTGTGTATGGTTACGAAATTTTAGGCATTTGATTGACAAAAATTAAATTTTAAAGATTGAATCCAGAGCTGAAGTAAACTTGGAAGTAAAAAATTTCATTATCCCTTTTTAACATGATGATTCTTGTGATCGATAGACAGGCCAATTTATTTTGGATATATTTTAAAAATTTATATACAATAATATTTTACTTTTGTATGTTCAGATCTAGCCATAATTTAACATGATTTTTTGAATCAAAATCTTTATGAAGTTACGATAAGTTTGTGGCCTTTCCCTTAAACAATCAGGTTGATTATATTGACTACGCTACTAACTTTTATATATTAATTTATATAAAGTAATGCTTTTCTATGTGTGAGACACTAAGACAATCTTTTATTTTTATTTTCAATTTGTTTGGATTAAATTATAACTTGTAAATCTCTCTCTCTCTCTCTCTATATATATATATATATATAATCTTGTAAAAGCTCACGCTTATGGAAGTCTTTTGATTCAACATATTTTTTATTTGTATTGGACTATGCTTCTAATCTATTACTTTCTTCTATCATGTTTTTATCATTTTTTATTAAATAATGATTTGGGACCCTAAATTATCAAATTTCTTGTTAAGTGCATGGGCTCTTATCTAGTTAATGTGAAAATGGATCTCAACCGTTGTTAAAGGATAAAAAAAGCAAACCCTGGGCAGTAAAAGTCCAACTCCAGGGTATTAATAGCAAAGACTGAATCTTTAATGAAAACTAAATGATTTCTTCATTAAGGACATATATGTGTCTTTTATGTTTACTAGTTCAACATTCTTGAAAAAAAAAAAACCAAAAATGGGGTAACTATATCGAAACTAAAACAGAGAAAAATGTATGGATTTCTTTTCAAACAATGAAATTGAATTGAAATAAAACAAATGAAGTTGCGGTGATAATATCACATCATCACTTACCCTACAAGAATATTTATTCAAATTTTATTGCGGATGTGAGAGGATCTTTTTAGTGAATAATATGCAAGTATTTCTATATAATTCTTCAACCCTTGAAAACTATTCTGACTTTGATGAGCTTCCAAGACTAATTTAGTCATTTCAGATAAATTTTTTAGGTTATAAAAAGCACATGAAAAAAGGTTTAAGAAAATCATTCCAAAGTCGTTGCGGAAATGCAGCAAGTCACTATCTTCACTTCACGGGTTCACAAAAGGCTTGTTCACGGACGAAGGTTTCGCATGTTCTAATCAAAGAGGGCCAATCATTGATGAATCCAACATATGAAGTGGGGTTCGTATTTTTGACCACTACTTCTTTTGATCTTTTCTTTCTTTGTTTCTTTTTTTTTTTTTCCAAATAAGTGCTTAGATTCTTGCAGACAGCCCATTCCTTAAGATACTCCATGAACCTTCATCATTTTCGAGTCCAATTAAAAGTAACTTTCTTCTACCAAAAATATTTAAGCCGTTATAATCCTTTTTGTTAAGACTCAACACCTTTAAGTTTATAACATTCTTTTTCTAATATTAAATCTATTTTTTAAAGTTTCAATACCATCTTTTTTTTTCTAGAAATTAAATCCTTTTTTTTAATGATTTTCGACTCCTATATGTTATTTATTACTCTGATGTATTTATAATCGGCTCAATTAATCATGTTGTTTTAATCATTACAATCAATTTTTAACTAGTCATTGTACTTTATTTTGCCCTTGCCATCACGTCTCTAAAATTTCTTTTCGTTCCCAATATCTAATATTATCCATTAAGTCAGTGACCTATATGACTATCTATAAAGCCTACATGTGATAATAACATGAACTTCACTCAATACAGTGCTAGTTACACTTTCTTGCTACCCCAATTCGTCGTAGTAGTATCAAAGAAATTTTACTTTAATCATTCATTCCTTTTGCCGTTGTATTTGTATTAAAGCACTAATCTTTTATGGCTCATTTGATAGGAAGGAATTGGAGGCAAAGAGATGGAGTGAAACCAAAACCTCCCATTTTATATGTTTGGTATGGTTGAATTGGCTTCTCTGTGGAAGTCACTTCCATTAAAATTGATGGAACTGAGTTTCACATCCAACCCCATGGAACCCAATTTCACTTTCATCTAAGCTCCAACTTTGACCATTTTGCCCTACCCCCATCTCTCCTTGTTATTAACACTACGGAACGATGAAGAGGACTGTGAAACATAGGGCATTGACTTTGCCGTCAATGATGTCGACAATGATGACTTTGGCAAAGATGAAACCCACGACGATGGGTTGAATCTTATACTCAACACGAATGGACGATGGACGACAGTAACTCTTTCATTTTCTAATTGAATCCTCTCTTTGATTTCTGTCTGTTGATTCTTGTTATCTGGTGAGTCATCAAAGATGAGGAACAATGAGGAGAGGTTAAGATTTTTTTTTTTTTTACAGATCTGTAATATTTCTGGATTGTTTTTTCGTTTGAATGCTATGAGGAACAACTGTAAAGAAAAATATAGGTTTTGTATTTCCCATTGATTCCCAGTTTGGATTCCCATTAACTTCCAAATATGCAATTCATGTTTTTTCTTTGTATTTTTTCTAAAATCTGGTTCATGTTCTTCAATGATTCTGGGTTGTAAATGATGAAATTGGTTGTTGTTCTGCTGGAAATTCATATTTGTTGGGCATTCCATGATTTCTAATGGTGTTCATGCCAATGTAGTGATGGTTGCAATTTGCAAATAAGATGGAGTTTTTTTTTTTAAAAAAAAAATTGATGGGTATATTGGTCATTTCAAAATATCAATACATTTTTTAGATAAAATTTTAGCCCACTTCCATTCATACCAAACATACTTATAAACCTCACTTTTACTTCCATTTCCTCTTCTTTCACTTTCATTTCCACTTCCTCTTCATCAAATTCATTTTCACATACCAAACGGGGCAGTACTTGTATTTTGAATGTTAATGATAGTACCCCATATAACATAGTGAGAATTGTATTTGTATGATTGACCACTTGCTTGAGGTAAATTGACCTAACTGTTATTGAAAAAAAAAAAAGGCCCAAATGCAACATTATCTAAAATATTTACTCCAACACTACAAATCCCAATTGAACATGTACATGATGCTGATGAGGAGGATAAAACAGTCTTAAACCTATGAAAAAAGGTAAAAAAAAAAAAAAAAAACCCACCAAGGAGAGAACAAAATAGAATTATTGAACGAGACATTTAAGTTGACAATATACCCCTAAACTCTGGTTGTTGATATGTCATGCAATCCATATAACTAACTCACCTTATGAAATAAAACTTGTATTTAATTTAAATAAATTCTTCTTACATTAAATTGTAAATAATTTTTCACACAATACTAATGTAATGAACCTATTGAGAAGGAAAACAGTTACAAACAGTCATCTCATGCTCATAAAGTTACACAGAAACAAAACCTAATGTACTGAACAAGATTTTTTTAGCAACCAAACAATGAATAATACAAACAAGATCTACAGCCACATGACCTTGCCTTCTTGGACATTAGTGAGATCGACTGAAAGAAAACAACCCAGTCCAACACCTAACATCTAAAATGACGTATGATTTAACAAAATCCTTATGAAGAAACAAATAATAGTAAAAACTGTACAAGACAAATCATTAAGGTAAAAGGGATTTTTTTTTTTTGCAACTCTCATCAAGACTACAACAGCCACTCCCCCCACTTTTTCCTTTTTTTTTAAATAAAAAAAAGAAATTAAATATTTTCAGACAATATCACGTTACCTTAATATTTATGATTGTTTACTCAAGTGGGAGATGTATCAAGCATATAACTTGAGGACACGAGTTTAACTCACAATAGCTCCTTATCATAAAATGCAAGAAGCTGCTTCACATGATTATGCCAAGCAGCTACGTTTTGCCCATCAACCAGAACCCAGTCAACCACAGTTGATGCTGGTTGCTCCCACCACTCATCAAGCTGCAGTAGCAGTTACAATGCAAAATTTAGAAAGAAATTTTACAAATAATCATGAATAAATATACAAATCAGATTATCATAATAGAAAATGCTATCAAACTAAGCTACTCTTAAGCAACCTGAGTTTTGTCTAGAATGCATTTCTCCGTTAGACTACCAGGGGCATTAATCAAATGCTTAGGGGCAGTTTGATACATGTTAGATGTTACCAGTAGGCTTCAGTGAAGGGTTATAAGTGTAGCAAGGAAAAAAGAAATAATTAACTATGTATAGTTGCAAGGCATTCATGAGTACTTAGGGAGGAGAATACTTTACATAGTTGTACTCTTGCCTATTGAAGTGTGAATAAGACATTTTCTTTTGATTTCTTCTTCTATCATTTTTGGTATCAAAGCTGACTCTGCCTCAAGGCATTGCCAAAGACACGATCACACGAGATAATCAGACTCAGAATAGATAGATGAAGAGAATATGGCACTGTTGGAGAGCACTTGATTGAAGCTGGACCAGAACTAAACCAACATCAATGATTTGGATGAAAACATAAACTACATAAAAAATGCTATAGCCAGGGTTGTAATAAAGGTATCGATTTAAGCAAACAGCGAATATGATGAACATTCCTGGTGCAAAGATGGGTCAAATGTCAGGTAATAATTGAGGACCTATTGCACAGCTTAGATCAACAACACCAATTCCTTAGCTTGACTAATTCAGTTGTTCACAAGGAACTCAACAAATACACCACTAAGCAAGCACAGTCAAGTGCAATCCTCGAAGTTGGATGAAATGGATTTCAATGGATGGCCTTATGGATGCTACCAGTTCTTTAAAGTTGACGACACACCTGTTGGCCAGTGAATTAAGCTTCTGAGTATCCATCTCGAACAGAAAGCTCTGAAATGGCACAACTTTATGAAGAAACATCATTCCATTAAAGTGACTTGGTACAGACAACTAAAGGCTTGGTTTGTTAACACAAGGAGGGGCAATAAGATAGACAAAATTATGAATCATTGACAAGGTGGTTCAGTTGAGGATTATAATGAAAAGTTTGATGAGCTTCTAATGGAACTGGATATTCCAGGGGACATTGCCATTTACGGTTACATCAAACGCTTAAGGAAGGATATCCAGAAAAGCATATCGATGTCAAGTCAGCTACAATAGACACCATGCACATGGCAAGAGTTCAAGAGGCCTATATTTAAGAGTTACACACCAACGTCCTAGTCAGCAGACGTTATTTGCTGTTCTCTTGGTTTAAATTTTTTAAAAAAATTACTGTTTCCTTGGCATCTCTAAAAGAATTCCTCATAACAGAAGTTATAGAGGCAGTCACTCACCAAGCCGCAGACATATTTGCATTCTTCCAAGCTTTTCTGAGCATTCAAAACTGCAGTCTTAAGTTCAGGCAACCATTTATCCATAACAGTTTTCTCTTGTTCAGCAGCCAAATTCAAAGAAAAACTCGTTGTCCTGCAGTGTGATATTAAATGTTGTAAGAATGGAACCTTTTGACAAATTCTAAAGGCTGTGGAAGATTTTTTTTAAAAAAAATCATATGAACCTTTTAGTCTTGCTTAAATTTGAACGTTCTTTAATTCATTAACAGAGGCAGACAGGAAAGGAAAATTAAGAGAAAGATGAGCAGAAAAGGTCAACATGGCACAGATAGCATAATCCATATCCATAGATATCTTGGATCAATATAACTATTCGACTTCAAATTAGAATCATGGGAGATAGTTAATTCACGTTCTAAGCAAACAGAAAGTCAAAACGAAAGGAAAAATGAAAATAGAAACCTTGCTGCAAGAAAAATTTCCTTCCACAAATTGGAGGATGGAATAAAATAGTTGAGGCCCATGTTACTTAGGCCCAACATATGCTCCAAAACCTGAATGTGAAGATCCATGCAAGATCTATTAAGTTGAAATCCTCAGATGAGATGAATTAGATTCAGATTTACCTTTCATATTCCTGCTGAACTCGGTAAGCATGGTTCAATAGTGCATGACCACTTTCTATGAGATCTTGTCGGATATGGACGAGATTAATAGCCTTTAATAAGTCTTCCAACACACTAGCTTCAGAACTTCGAAGTTTTAAACAAAACTCCAAGGACTCCAGCACTGATGCTAGACCAGCATCTGAACCCCCTAAGCCTGTGCAATCAACACTGAAACGTGTAAAGTATTGCAACAGCTTTTAACAATTGTAAATGCAACACAACAAAATGGGTCATATTATTCCAAATCCAAAGAAATGAAATAATACAAACCAGAAGCACATGCATTTGAAACTCAAGTAAGATTATATCTTTCATTTAGCTTGGCTTCATTCTACCACTACATTCCATATACTATAATTATTGTAAATTTTCTCTTACAAGAAAAACTTTAGAATGCCAAATCAACTTAAAAACTTTAGAATGCCAAATCAACTTATTCTTTTTTCTTGTCTCCGATCACAATTACTCAAGGTATAACCCTCCAGGATCTTCCAAAATCCTCCACCTTTCATTTTCTATGTTAAATGCAATTACTATCCATTTATTATTTGAACATACCTTTATACAGCCTCCTTTATAAGGACTTATCCCACCTCCACTAGATGTATAGTGTCACACAGGATTGCTGTAAAAGGGCCTCCAAGCATAAAAGCCTATATAATCCATTATCTTTGCCGCATAAAACCCTATATTATCCAATTTAATGCCAAATGGACTCTGATAAGATGGCTCTTTTGAGGAGGAGAAAGGTAAAAAAACACTACAAATGGGCCCAGAAAAGATTTTTGTCTTTAAATGGAGAAGGCTAAGAAGCAAGAGAACTACAACAGAGGAAGATAAGACAGCATCCAATAAGGGGAAACCACAAAAGGGGCAGGTGATGGAACCCACACCGAAAATGCAATTAAAACAACAGAAATCTGGCAAAGCGTAGGTCTAACCAGAAAAAACTACTGATGGGCTAATGGGCCCACATGTAATAGATCAAGGCCGAGAGTGTCGTGTGTGCGGTTTGTGAGAGGAGTGGGGAAGAGAGAAGGGCTGTGTGTTGTGTACAAATTTGGGGACAAGGGTTTAGTGGGGCAGGCCTAAGCAGACAGCAAATATTTGTGAGGGAGAGACTCTAGCCCTCTCAAAACTCAAAAGTAGGGAACCAGTGAGTGGGTGAGTTCTCTGTCACTTTCTCCTATTTTCTTTGCAGTTTTTTCTGGTTAGACCCACACTCTGCCAGATTTCTATCATTTTAATAGCATTTTCATTGTGGGCTCCATCAGAAGGAAAACCCCAAACTTAAGAAAATAACAATGCTGCCCAGTCCCTATTCATATCAATCAAAGAGACTCCTTTGAAACTTCCAGGAATCAAATATCAAAGACGAGCAAGAAACACAACCCCTTCCGGTGTCACTCAGAATTATTGAGGAACCATTAGAAATTTTATCATTCCAATAAAATGCACCAAATCACAGTGAAGCTGAACATTACACATCTTAGCCACCTTTCTTCCCAAATGAATTATACTGGATCAA